GATATCGAGACGGTATTCTTGATCAAGGGACCAGTATCTAGAATGAGCGAGTGGATTGGTTTCTGCTGAGTTGCACTAGGTGTCGCCATTATGCTGTAATCTGGGCAGCAATCGCAGCCTAGTTGTGGAAATTCGTCTGCTTGTTCTAGGTGGGCGGGATATCGAGACAGTTTGATGCCACGATATGGTACGAATTTTTGATCGTTAATATGTGACTAGGCCGTGCCGCTGGCGTGGTGGAAGATTTCACGCTGGTGGCGGTGGGGCGCAACTTTTTTGTCGTGAAACCCCTCGCGAATTTTGATTGGCTGGTTCCACCAGAGACAGCAATGGGAACGCTGCGGGAGCCAACTACGACTGTCGATTGACTATCAAGTCAATCTGCATGCACTATACATCTGTAGTCATGGCCTCGATTGCTACGTGGTAATTCTGACTCGCCCTCAGTAAAAGTTGTGAGATGTTCATGAAATGTTCCATTCAAACGCCGCCCAATGCTGAAGTTGCGAGCCCATCCTCACGTCGCTTGTGGTATACAGTACACATACATGAATTACATCAACGCCGTCCTAGCTCTTAGTCGTGATGCTCGAGATTCGTTTTAAGGCGAAAACTTAAGCGATAGGTTTGCTCCTCTCGTCTTCTGGCATACGCATGTACGCATCAATCGCCGCACTAAAGACTGCGAAACCTGCACATCCCACAGCCACAGCCTGTGGCCCGGCATTTCTGGCTAGTATTCCACCTGTCAAACAGCCCCCGGCCACTCCGTTGTACAAGTCGTTCTTGGCTCGTAGGCCCTCGATGGCGCACTCGGTGCCTGAAAATATGGCGCCCACTTTAGCGAAGTTGCGTCCACTGGAAATAGAGGATCGATACATGTCGCGCAGACCAGCTCGTAGTTGCTGGCGGAGTGGAAGGTCTTTGACATCGACGACTCCGGTAGCGGTTGGATTTGGGAGGGTAGCGGTGGCGGACGCAGAGGGCGCTGTGGTGAGGGTAGCTGCGGAAGCGGAGTTGACGTTGCTTGTAGCTATGGTTGATGGCTTGACGCCTGCTGTTGGTGTTGTGCCGGAGACTGCGGTGGCAGGCTTAGAAGCCGGTGTGTTGACAGCGAGGGGTTGTGACATTGGGGTATCGTATCGCATCTGGCCATGTCAGTCATGTCTGCTCTGATGCAATCGTTCCAATACATACCGAGGCCATAAAGAGTCCAAACATAGCACCCAAACCACCACCCATGACGCCTGCCATTACCGTCTTGCCAATGCAAGACTCCATGCCCATTTGCATGGCTTTCACCATCTGCTGCTCCTGCTCGCTCATGCCAGCATTAGGGTTCATGGCGGCTGGCAATGCGCCAACCCCTCCTATTCCTCCTGGAAAAGACATGTTGGAACTAGTTGATCACCACTGCGTTGGAAAGCGGACGTGGCACAGGAGCAATGCTGTTGCGAAGGCGGTGCGATGCGCCGCCGCTGCCTGGAACTTTTGCGGAGTTGGAGCGGAGGACGGAACATGCCGCACATGTGGGGCTTGGCACCCACTCGAGCACAGTCACGTACAATCTAATCAAGTTACTCGCTGGATGTGGTAAAGAGTATTCGGTTTCTCATTATGCTTCTAACGACGGTACATGTCTACCCGAAGCTAGGTCCAAGAATATGCCATTACGCCGACGCCATGCTATCTCTAGAACTTTTCCACACTTCAAGCCACCTCTTCAACAAGTTCTGCAATACTGAATTAGACTATGCTGTTAATGGCGTTGCGTCATAATGCTAAATCGCTAAAAGCAACTACCGTATCAAACGTTCAGTTCATAAAATCGCCGTGCGAGTAGTCCTCAGTCCTCGACTCTGGGGGTGGCGTGAGTTGCTTCTCCCATTCCCTCATCAGATGCGATGCGGTACGCTTCAAGTTGCTTGGCGACACTTTGGTCATATCAGGCCAAGGGATGGAACTGCGCTTCTGGTCTCGGGGAGTCATGTCTTCTTGGGTAATCGAGGTAAGCGATGATGCTTTGGAGTCGTGACGTTTCGAGTGGTACCTGGTGCTGGTACTTGTTCGCGAGCTACCTGGACCAGAGACCGGCGATGTCTGCGCATCCGATTCGTCTGAGCTGTCCTTGGAGTCTCCCAAATCAACGAGGAGTGACTCGTTTGGTGTGTCCCAGTTGTCCCAATCCTCTTCTGATGCAACTTTGCGGATCTGTTTTTGCGGGGTAGTTGTGTTCTTGAGAGCGTGCGTCTTCTTGTTGACCGCAGTGGTCTTGGGCTCGCTTAGACCCATCTCCTTCCAGAAGTCGTCGCCGATGGATCCTAGCTGTTGGGTGTTTTTCTTTGAGCTGGCGGACCGACTAAGGGCTGGGCGACCGTCGGACGATTTTGGGCCAGACTTTGAAAGGCTCTTGACACTTGTCATGCCGGGGTTACCTTCTGCCGTGTTGACAGCCTCATCGCCCACAGTTGCTTGTCGGATATCCTCCATAAATGTGAACAGCCCCTTCTTGAAGTCTGCCGCCATCTGTGTGCCGGCGCGGATGAGCTGTTCACGCTGTATCGTTGGCATGCCACCCATGTCATACCGGTCATGTTCACCAGCGCTGACAACTTGTCGTGTGATATCTGACGAAGTGGAAGCCCTCGTAGGGAGCTGTGGTCGAGAGTCGGAAGAGTGGTCATCCTGTAAATCGAGTGGCTGGGGGAATGACGGCGACTGGAGACGATCGGGGGAAAGCAGGGATAGCGTTCGTAGATGTCGCGAACCGCTAAAGACCTTTCTTTGAGACGTCTTGGTGGGGTTCAGCAGGGCCCTTCTACGCTCCATCTCTTTCTGCATCCACAGGTTTGAACCATCGTCCTCATATTGGCCCGCTGGAGTATTGGCAAGCGACGTGTCCAATGGTTGCAGCGCAGCAACCTTGCGCACCTCGTTGCGACGCTTGTTAGCTTCGTGATGGGCCCAATGTGTCTTGAGCATGTTCAAATCCGCCTCGGCTTTTGTCAGCTCTTCCTTCAGCTCGAGCACATAGCGCTCTTGAGCAGCAAGAACCGCCATGATGTTTGTCTCGGAGGTGGCATCCTCAGGCTCTGGTGAATGTACAGACGTTGCTCCATTCACCCATGATTGTGGGCGCGATCGTGTCGACGAAGTTGGGGAACTGATGCTTGCGCTTGGCTGGATAGGGAACTGCAGCGATAGGCGTTTGCCTTGGCCAACGACGTCGACCGTCTTGGACCGAGAATGCGACGGCATCGTCTTGGTTGGTGAGGGTTGAAAAGAAGTGTTCGAGTTGGGGGCGTCGGGAGATATTAATGTCGACTGGGATGACGGGTCCGCCCCTTTGTCATGCAGGGTTGTCGGTGTCTGTGCTCTGTCCATGGAGTCTGCTCCTCCAAGGTAGAAGATGGAGTTGCTCGTATACTGTCCCTCCTTGAGAGTACAGAGAATGGTTGAGAGACGAGCGCGGCGAGCGAGTCGGTGAAGAATAAGCGAGGCGGCGGCTGGGGAGCTGCCGTAGACTTCGAGATAAAGGGCTAGAAGCGCTGTGGGTAGGCCGACCAATCGGAGGAGGAGAGACCCTCTAAACCACGAGAACCAAGACCTGAAGAGCGTTGGGCCAGTGGCGCAAGAACTCATACCAAAGACATTGAAGAAAGCATGCCACAGTTCAAAGCAGTAACGAGTATCTAGAGATTCCTGCAGCCGAACCCGTAGTCTTTGTGCAGCAGGTCGCTCACGCGCACAGTGCTCAGGCCATCAACAACCCAATTCAGGAACCCATCTCCTGGCTGCATGTTCCAAGGGACTGCTTGCGCGGCTAGTTTGGTTACGGAGAGGATGTGTGGAGACGGTGAACGAACATCCGTCTGTTGAGGTTGACGTTTGCCCTGTCTTTTTACCATCGCCCTTTCGTTATTCATTCAAGTACTTCAAGACACCTGTCACCACACGTGCAGGTTGCTGCTGTCAAACACGTTCGTGGACGCTGAGTCCCATATTTTCCGAGACGACGCGCGATGTTGCGGAAATGAGGGGGTCAGGCCACGCAAGTTGACACCTCAGAAGATGATCCATGTAGCAACAACGTCAGAGCTAGCTGGGGACGCGCCTTGGGTGTTCCGGTCAAAGGCGGGTTCGTGGTCATCTCATACTAAGTATTGAATCTACGGTTGCTGAGGGGAACAGAAGCGGAAAACATGGTGCGCTTCGCTTTGACAGTCGGTCAACATGGAAGTCCATCCACGGCCTTCTCCCCAAATTACCGCAACGGGTACGAGTGCGTTGTCCGAACGGCCTGTTTCACGCTATTAGGACTTTCCGCAGTTGAGCCTAGCGGTGAGTGGGATGGTAGGTTTGGGAATGCCTGGAGTGCCTTGTAGCACGATGCCGTTAGCTCGTGTTTCCCTCAGCAACCGCAAAAGTAAACCCCGGCGGGAAGAGCAGGCGCAGGTGATGCGCCACCACAACGACGATAGATCCAATTGGTGATTCGACTGATGACTGTAGTATCCGCTGCTGCATGTTACCCGCAGTGTGGATCTTATGCAGGGCAACTTTGGTGAGCGATGGAATTGGAATGCTCCAGCTATGGGGACGGCAAACTGGTTTGTAAGGCTTGAAAGCCGAGCGACATGACTCCCAAGACTGGTGAGCTATCTTGGGTATCCATCCTCAGTCTCTGTTGTTCTTCTGCAGCATTGATACCTGGCGACGTCATACCAATCTCGCCAATTCCCAGGTGGCGGCGGGGTTGTGCGTTTGTTGATGATCATTCTCGTTGCCTCGGCGATGATAGGGCTGGACCCTGCGCGATACTCTGATATACACCACAACGGCGACGCCATTGAGCAGCCCAGCACCAAGAACAATTCTTATTTCTATCCCAGTAGCTTTACGCTAAAACACGCATTCGTCCATCTTCGCCTGACCGCCGATCACCTACCGAAATTCCCAAGCCATTGCGCTTCCACTCAGCGATATCACAATCGCCCGCCATGGCCGAAAACTACCAAGTCATGGAGGAGCTGGGCAGTACGTTGTGGATTGCCCCCAATTGGATTCACTTATGCTGACATGTCCAGGTGGGAGCTTTGGAAAGGTGTTCAAGGCCATTGACCGTACTACCGGCGAGACGGTCGCTATCAAGCACATCGACCTCGAAGACAGCAGCGAGGAGCTGGCCGACATCCAGGCCGAGATTTCACTGCTGAGCACATGCCACAGCCCGTATATCACCGAATACAAGACCAGCTTTGTCAAGGGCGTAAAGTTATGGATAGTCATGGAATATCTGGGCGGAGGATCGGCCGCAGACTTGGTATGCAGACTCACAGATGAACATCAACTTCACGAACTAACAGTTGCAGTTGGCACCAGGAACTTTCAGCGAAGCCCACATCGCCATCACTTGCCGAGAACTCCTGCTTGGACTAGACTACCTACATTCCACCGGCAAGATCCATCGGGACATCAAGGCCGCCAACGTACTACTCACAGACCAGGGCAAAGTCAAGCTCGCTGACTTCGGTGTCGCCGCACAACTCACAAACATCAAGTCGCAACGCATGACGTTTGTCGGTACACCGTTCTGGATGGCACCAGAGGTTATCCAAGAAGCTGGCTATGATTTCAGGGCCGATATCTGGTCACTCGGTATCACCGCTATGGAGTTGGCAGAGGGCGCACCACCACATGCTGGATCACATCCCATGAAGGTGCTCTTTACTATCCCGAAGAACCCAGCACCAAGGCTAGAGGGCGATGAGTGGAGCAAAGACTTCAAAGACTTCATTGCCCAATGCCTGATCAAAGACCCGGACCGACGTGCGACCGCCAAGGAGCTTCTCAAACATCGATTTGTCCAGCGTGCGGGCAAGGTGGAGGCACTGCGTGAACTGGTCGAGCGCAAGCAGATGTTCGACGCCCAAAGGGAACAGCAAGCGGCATCGCACCCCAAATACTATGAAGAGACCATGGTTGATCTTTCCCCTAGAGCTGAGGAAGACGATTGGGACTTCGACACTGTTAAGCGGGGTACTGTTCAGGCACGGCAGACTATGAAACAGCGTCGCAAACTGGCCCGTATACCCTCCTCTGGCAATGAAGAGGTTGAGAGTATGATGCAACGAATGGATCTCAATGCAGCACCTTTGGGTGACATTACTGATTCACCACTTCCGGCACGCCGACGGCCGTCTTCTCGACGATCTTCCCAAGCCACGGCTTTCCGTGTTCCTTCAGGCGATACGCCCACCGCTCGTCGCGTCAGCAACTTCAACAAGTCGCCCCTAGGCGTTGACATGACATTCGGAAACTCGCCCTCGACTGTGCGGCATTTCAAACGTGTCTCCTCGGACGAGCGCCGTGCAGCACTCCGCTCAAATCCTCCACTAGTAGCCCAGAACAATCAGTCTTTCCAACCAAATCCCGAAGCACGAACCTTCCGTCCATCACCTCCGACATCTAATCATCCACTGGATCTGAACAACGAGAACGAGCCGCCTGCTCCCGATGGTCATATGCCTATCACGAAGGATGCCCTTTACGGTCGCCGAGCGTACAGCAAGGTCCTAGATTCGGTTTTCCAGGAGGCACATGCCGATACAGCATCGCCTCATCAACGGGACGCTATCGGACGTGTTGCGCAAGCCTGGCAGCATCTTGACGAGGTCGATCCGCACGGGGAGTTCATGCTATTGAAAGCCATGGTCGACCGTCTCAAGAATGACACCAAGCTTGCGTACGCTCTCGGCATCGAAGTCTCAGCTGTGCAATCACCGTTGAAGCACAACACCAAGACAAGTGATACTAGTTTGGGTGGCACAACTGTCCATGGCGCTGGCACAACACGTATCCGGTCTAGTACTACAAGTGCGGCCACTTCAACCGTCAGTAAATCTTCGGAAGAGTACGACCACACACCGATATCAACACCGACGCGGAACAACACACCCATCGCCAATTCAGGCTCTCCGTTGAAGGGGCCTAAGCTGGTGATGGCGAAGAACAACCCTCACCTAAAGTCACATAAGCGCCGTCAAAGCGCATTTGTAGTTGGCGAAAAGGGGTTCGGTGCCGACGGCCACGGTTATTTTGATGAGAAGAAGCTACCTGGCTATGTCGAGCCTGGTATGGAGCAACAAGGGTTGCTAGCTGACATTCTTTATGGGCAATGGACACAAGGCCTGCGCACTCGGTGGCCTATCGCTTAATCTTTCTCGTCTGGTTGGACAGAAGTTGGCGTGAGTATTTTTTATTTTTTTGCATATTCCTCTTGCCTTGCTGCTCTCGCGCTGGATTCTGAGTTATGGTCGGGTTCGCAAGTTTGAAATCGGCGTTTGTGGGTCACATACTAATGACTGACGATATGGTGGTTGCGGGTCGTTGCTGGGGTCTTCACATCAGTCGTTCTAGACAGTGCTAATCTGCTGCATCTCTGGGTTGCATCGGCACTGACACTGGCGTTTCGCGGTCTCTCAAGTCTAATAGGGAAGGATACCTGAAGGTCGTGTGTGTATAAATAGCTTATGGATATGTAATGACGATACCAACGTCTCTTGTCAACGAGAGAACAAAGTATAATGACTTGCGTGTCGTGACGAACTGAGTGTATTGTCTGACGTTCGCGGCAATCGAGTAGAGTGACTTCTTCTCGCATGCTTGCGCCTCAATCTTTCTGCCCTGGTACTTTGCTGCTGAAGGCTATTGTCGACGGAGCCTAACCTGCCAACGTGGTCTGCTTGTGGAATGTTCATGGCTTCCAGGTACTAGGAACGCCGGCTTACGGCACAGAGATAGACCCTTGTCGATCGGAGGGTAGTCCGTTGCAGACCAGCAATCACGAGCTGCACAGCTTTCCCAGATGAATCTATACTTACCACATCTGGTACCTGAACGCCCTGATTTCCGGGTCCCGTAGACGTCAGCGCTGTCATCGAAGCGGTGACATCCTTGCTGCCGAAGTATTGGGCGACGCATGTGTTCACAAGCCCGGATGCCATTGGCCACGCGACGCTTGTTATGAGCCGCGTGTATTTCCTCGGTAGCGATATGCAGAAGTCTAACGCAGTTCCCCGCGGGTGCAAGACCTTGAGAATATAAAATGGGCCTCTGGCGCTCCCACATTGCTGGGCATCAAGGCTTGTCATTGCTTGGTCTTCTTGGTCTACTTCTTTGGGCATTGCTGCGAACACCAAGATGCAATTCGCGATAAACACCGCCCACAAGGGTGCACTGCTTGCACTTATTGCAAGCGCTGGAGCTGCGCCGACGACCACCATATCCGCTGCTGGAAATGCGGGTGCAAGCAGTGCGGATGTGTATCCTCCTGTCGGCAGTAAGTTTGGATGGAGTTGCGCAGAAAGCGGAGTGCTGATGGCTTGGTTACGTAGCCGAGGTCAACTCTCAACTCTTCCCGCCCGAGTCTGTAGTCGGCTTCCCTGGACGTGAGTCGCGTACCCTCCTGGATGTTTTGTTCCAGACTAATCTGGATCTCCATCAGCAACACCAACAGGAGCAGAGCCTAATGCCATTCAGACAGCGCCGTCATATCCCTACAATGATGGCGATGCGTCTTCGTACCCACTTATCAAGCCTCAGCCGCATGGCAGTGGTTCACAGTCGCCAAACTTTGACATCACAAAGTACTGGGGCAACTTGAGTCCCTGGTATTCTGTTCGAAGTGCAGACTATGGTCTTCCTGATGCTAGCCCTCTGATTCCTGATGGCTGCGACATCACGCAAATGCATCTCCTTTACCGTCATGGCGCTCGGTACCCAACTAGTGGTGCAGCGCCTGCGACCTTTGCCCAAAAGATTGCAAATGCTACGAAGACTGGCCTTGCTGTCTCTGGAGAGCTTTCCTTCCTAAGCGACTGGACGTACAAGCTGGGCGCAGAGCTTCTCACACCATCTGGCCGCAGCATGAACTTCCTACTGGGTATTGAGTACCGTGAGTTGTATGGTCATTTGCTCAACAACTTCACAGAAGCTGGTACTATCCCGGTCTTCCGAACACAGTCTCAAGATCGTATGGTGAAGACTGCGGAGAACTTCGCTGCCGGCTTCTTTGGCGTGCCTGAGTACATGGACGAAGTCAGCATTGAATTGCTCGTCGAGACTCAAGGTGTCAACAACTCCGGTGCACCCTATGAAATCTGTAACAACTCGAACATTGCCACACGAGGAAGCATCGGCAGCCGCGTCGCGGCACAGTTCGCGAATAACGCTTTCAATGCCACTATCACTCGTCTCCAGTCGCAGGCTAGCGGCATTAACTTTACCTCCACTGATGCCATTGCTATGCTTCAGCTTTGCTCATACGAGACACACGCTCTCGGCTACTCCGCTTTCTGCAACCTGTTTAACGAACAAGACTTCTTGAACTACGAGTACTATTTTGACCTCTCGTTCTATTACAACAACGGGCCTGGTTCACCTGTCTCGGCAGCGCAAGGCAAAGGCTTTCTTGACGAGTTTATCGCGCGCTTCACTCATCAATATCCTGGGCCCAACTCAGCATTAAATGAGACATTCGACAACTCCTCAACATACTTTCCGCTCAATCAGTCCATCTACGCAGACGCCACCCACGAAGTGGTAGTCCTTGATACGCTCACCGCTTTCAACCTGACAGCTCTGTTCAAAGGTCCACCATTAAGTCCTCAAGGCAATCAAGGCCAAAACAGTTTTGTAGCCAGCAAACTGGTACCATTCGCGACGCATTTTACTACACAAGTGCTTTCTTGCCCAGCTATGCAACCATCTAAGCAGATCCGCTTTATTGTGTACGTATCTCCCTTCCTCTTCGAGTTTGACGCGCAACTGACGGTAGTTCTCAGCAATGACGCTGTCGTACCAATCGACGAATCATACCCTGGCTGCCCGGCTAATCCCAACGGTCTCTGTTCGTTCGACAACGTAGTCGAAGTTTTGCAGAAACGCAGTGCTGAGATCGACTTTGATTATGATTGTTTTGCAAACTATACAGCCGCTCCTGGACAGGATTACAATGGCAGGGCACCAAGGTCTTAGATCACATCGGGAAGCAAAAGCAGCTCTAGAATCAGAAGGAGATGATAATGCAATATAATGCAACGAAAATTGATGAAATTGTCATTTGCGCTCCATCCTCATTGAGAATTCACTCGCTAGTCGCTACGGCGTGCAAAGCTATAGAGGGGTAACTGCGCGGCCACGCCAATTATCATGAGCTATTCTTCACGCTTTCCGTGTATGGTTTGTCCGTAACTTTGGAAGTGGTTCAGCTCTTAACCACCTGCGTTCTCCTTTTATGCAAGGCATTAGGTGCCTCCAACTAAGCTAGATATTCCCGACTTCACGCATTTGGATGTCGTGTTTCTGCAAGATTCCGGTACAGTTCTCCAGTACCTAGGTCGATACCTAAGTTAGTGCCTAGAACTCCAAACAAATCTTCGTCTGCCCCTTGCATGCCGCACAAAATAGTCATACGGATATGATAGGGTCGTTCTCTCCACTGGATGAGAGAAAGACGAGTCATAGAAGCAGATTGTTAGATATCGTGGCGGAGAATGAGGAGAAAAGTAAGGAGTAGGAAGATGAGGAACAGTTTCTGAAGGATTAGCACATGATGAGACGTGATAACGGGGTTTAAAACAAGTCATGAAGCACTCTCGCGGCTTTCGGAAATGTGATGGGATACGGAATGTTGAGATTGGGCAAGTTGCCAGCAGAGGAGGACCTATTAAGTACAGTGTGCTTTTCAGTCACTACGTATAACCCGGCTGCAGATCGCTTGTCAGCTCCAGATTGATAGCGAGTATCGAATTAATCACGACAAAGGATGTCATTTTCTCTTAATACGACGGTAAGCATGCACAGTGAGCGCAGAGAGTGTTGCACTGGTCGTTGGAGAAGCCAAAAAGCCGTTAAATACCAGTAGATATCACATACAAGGTCTTAGGTTCATCTGCGCTGTAGACGACTAGAGTGTTTCGTAGATGCTCCGCCATGGCTTGTTTACATGAATTGAAATGATAAGAAATTGGAACTAAGTACGAAAGTCAAAGTGCTGCCGTTTGCTTCTGCAAGACAGGGATATCCTCTTTCTAAATTTAGTCTATTCCTGACCTGTCTCAGTCGCGAAGTCTCCCAAGAAACTTGGCGGCGTAGTTTCAGCCACCAAGACGTTCATAGGATTATGGTTCACGATCTGCATAACTTCGTGGCGAATCAACTCATCTGTGCCTGCAAAGACCTTCTCTACCCATAATACACTCTTAACAATTAACATGATATCGTCCCACTCATGTAGCTGCATACCACTCATCAGAATTCCAAGCATGAACACAAATTGGCTTCGTTCTGCAAGGTCTTTGGTCTCGACGGCAGCAGAGTACAGCACCCAGATTAGAAAAGGCTTCAAGTCGTTCCATTCGGTCATGTTCTTCGTGAGTACAAGTAGGAGATTGCGAGATATGGCGGCTGTCCATACTGGCGATTGACCAAAATTTCTCCAGAGTGGTGCCAGAAAGAGTAATGTTCCAAGTCTACACACTTCTTCGATGACTATCTCTCTGCCATCGCCGTGATTTAGAGGCCGAATAGCCAACAGGCGGTATATGGTTGGTTCCATCCAACTACCGCTCGTGATCGCTAGCATCAGCTGCTGCTCATTGAAAGCTCGATCAAGAGAGATCAGTTGTACTACATCATCGAAGATTGTGATAAAGTCGAGCTGCATGGGTAGTGCTTGTTTCCATGCAAGCGATATAGCAATACAAGGTCGTGGAGAATTTGGTGGAGATTCGGAGTCTGCTATCCATAGTGGTGGCATGGGAACAATTGGCGAGTGGTCTTGATAGAAGTTTCCTATAAGATCTGCCCTACTCGCATGTCAGTGGGTGTTCCAGCTCAATTTTACTCCGTTCAGGCCTACCAACTGATTGTGATTCGCAAGTACTCTTTCGTGATGGCATCGTAGCCGCCACGGAGTTCCACTATTCTGACTAATGCGCTGCTGTGCTTTTGCCAGTCATCGCCAGTAAAGTTTCCCATCAGAGCCTGGGAGATGTCAGCCTCGCCACTATCATTGTAATACATATTACCCACAAAGTGGATCATGAACGATACTACGGCACCTATGATCTCGTCACTTAGGCGCTTGCTAGGATCGTTCATCATCTGGGCGGTATGACCAAGCGCTTTGTTATGATATCTTAGCGCTATGGCA